CAGAACCCAAGAATGGACTAACAGTTACCAAAGGGAAAGGGACTGGGGAGGATGGGTGAGAAGGGAGGGATAAGGGCAGGAAAAAAGAAAGGGGGAATTACGATTAACATGTATAGTGTGTGGGGGGCATAGGGAGGGATGTGCAACACAGTGAAGACAAGTAGTGATTCTATAGCATCTTACTACGCTGATGGACAGTGACTGTAATGGGGTGTGGTGGGGGGACTTGGTGAGGGGGGGAGCCTAGTGAACATAGTGTTCTTCATGTAATTGTAGATTAATGATAACAAAATGAAAAAAAATATATATATAATCCTATAATATTATCACCAACGATCTCAAAAAGAACCAAAATGGCCCATCACAGTTGTCCTGCACTTGGCCCAAATGCCTGGCCTTTACCCTACTGTCTCCGTCAGTTGTTGGATGTGGGCTGCCCTGGGAAGGGTATGCAGACTCTGATGGGCTGACAGCAGGTTTTCTGCTAACAGCATTTCCAGCAGCTGGAACAAGTCCTCTCCAGAAAGGAGATTTAGGTGGGGCATCTCAGAGTGCACCAGAGCCTTTGGAGAAACCACCATGGCTGGTGGAGTGAGGTTCTTCACCACACGGAGAAAGCTAGGGTTAGAGCATAGGTGGATAAGATCAGCCTTGGACAAGGGGATGGCGTCTCTCACTGCAATGATGGGAGGAGAAGGAGGTAAGAATGGGGTTAGATGAAGGTAAGGGTTTGAGTAGCAGAACAGGAGTCGGGGAAATCAAGCCTGACAACCTCTCTTTTCTTTGTAAAATCAGAAGCAGGGTCATCTGCTAAACTGGGCTTGGGTAGGTCCAGGGCTTGAGAAGAATAGCCTCCAAGGTAAATGAGAGAGGACACCATCTGGGGACTGCAGGCTGTTTGGGCGGGCATCTGATGCTGTGGGACGTGACTGTCTATGTGCCATGCCCACTAGATCAGGTGGTTTTCCCTGTGGCGCTGAGAGCCCAGCTGGAGGAGCAGAGTCACACTCTTCGACTCATACTGGGCAGATGCTGCTGAGGACATGAGGCGATAGGGTGTTAACTGCTGCACTCGTTTCCCCAGAGCGTTCTTTCAGATTCTTTAGTCATAAACTCTCCATTCAAAAACTTGTGTTTATTTTCTAGGGGGACAAAGCATTAGAGAGTTGAGGTGCGGGTGAGCTCACACTTGCTGATCAATTTGTTCTTTTATGGATCATGCTTTTGGAGTTTTATCTGTGAGACCTTTAATTAAAGGTCACAAAGTTTTTCTCCTAGAAGTTTTATAGTTTTATGCTTTATGTTTAGGTCTAGGAAACATTTTGAATTCACTTTTGTGTATGGTGTGAGGTACGAATTGAGGTTCATTAGTAATTAAGGAAATGCAAATGAAAACCACAGTGAGATGCCAGTGTATATCTCCCAGAGTGGCTGAGATGAAAAGACTGACCATACCATGTAGCTGACATGGCCCTGGCTGTTTGATGAGCATGTGAAGGACCCAGAACTCTCACACACTGCTAATGGGAATACATGATGGAAAATGGTTTGTTAGGTTCCTAAGAAGTTACACATATAACTTCCATATGATACACTCTATTCCTAGCTGTTTACCTGCCAGAAATGAAAGCATATGTCCATACAAAGTAACTTATACACATATGTTCATAGCAGCTTTATTATAATAGCCTCAAACTGGGAACAGCCCAAATGAACATCCACAAGTGGAGGGAAAAACAACTAGTTGTATAGCCATACAACTGGAATACTGCTCAGCAACAAAAAGGAATGGACTATTGATACATAACAACCTAGTTCATTTGAGAGAAATCTCTAAATAATTATAAGAGCAAAGGCAGACAAAAACAATTTGTACATACTATATGATTGGATTCCATTTTCATGAGATGCAAACTAATTTGAAGTGACAAAATGCAGCTCAGTGGTTGTGCGGAGGCAGAAAGGATAACAAAGGGGCTTGAGGAAACCTTTCGAGGTGATGGATGGGTTCACTGGAGTGTAATGATGGTTTCATTACAAATGACAAATCGATAAATTGTTCAATGTCCATCAAAACTTCAATTTTTATTCTTTCAATAGTGCACTTATTGTATGTCAGTTAATCTCAATAAAGCTATTACAAAATATTGACCTGAAAATTAACTATATTATTGAGTCATTGATAATTAGCAAATAGAGCCTATAAAAATACTTAACCTTTTAAATTTCAATTTAGTCAAGTTAGACCTATTAGAGAGTGTTAAAAAGCAGAACTCTTGATATTCTGACTTAAGCCCCACAGTCAGCAGTAACTGACAAAATATGCCCTGTTTGCTTTTACCACAAACACTCTCTCTTAACACAACGCTTCCTTATTTCAACTCCGCAGGGTCCCAAGGTGACTAAAATTAAAGGTCCTTTATCAGGATCTTAATGACCACCATTAACTGCGCTTCCCATGTCCTGGCTCAATCCTTTCCACTCCTGAGAGGTTCCTATTCACATTCCATTTTGCAGGTGAGAAAGCTGAGGTGAGCCCCAGGCAGGTTTAAAGGCAACCCCAAGGCCCACGCTTGTACACGATCCATCGCAGCTCGGGGTGGGAGCGGTCTGAGTCCGGGAGTGTGAGCCCATCGTCCCAACTTAGCCTACCCGATTTTCTTTTTCGGAAGCTTTCTCCCAGTCACGTTGCCAGTCTCAGGCTAGCTCCTTCCCAGGTATCCCTGGAGGTCCGGGGCTGCCAAGAGGAGGATTCTGGTGAACCACACTGTGGACTACCGGTAGGACGGTAGCTGGCTGGTCTCGGAGTGCGTGGGGTCTAAAGAAAACATGATTGTCTTTGTTGGGCTGCCGCCCATCTCCGTTAGGACAACTCCATCCGAACCTTAGGGTCACGGCGGAGAGGAGAGCCGCACAGGGCCGGGAAGCCGCCGCGGCCAGCACCGATGCTGACGGGCAGGAGGTAGCAGGGCTCCGGAAAGGAAGGCAGGCCGGCAGCCGGGGCCTGAAAGAGCAGCCCCGCCCAGGCCCCGCCCAGGCCCCGCCCCTCGGCCGACCAGTCCCTCCAGGCCCCGCCCCATCCACGGGCCAGCCCCGCCCGCCAGTGCCTAGGCCGGAACTGAGGGCGCGCTCGGCCTTTCGGCGTTCGCTTGCTCGGGTCTGGCCGGGCTGGCGGCGGCGGCGCTGGCGGCGGGAGCCCGGTCGCGGCATGCAGAAGCCGCCGCCTGCCGCGGGCGGGGAAGTCTCCCTGCACAACTTCAGCGCGCAGCTGTGGGAGCAGCTCGTGCACTTCCATGTCATGCGACTGACGGACTCGCTTTTCCTGTGGGTGGGGGCCACGCCGCACTTCCGCAACCTGGCCGTGGCCATGTGCAGCCGCTACGTGAGTGTAGGTCGGGCCTCTGCCGGGGGCGGCGTGAGGGGAGGGGACCGAGGACTGGGCGCGCGGGGACAGGCCAGGCCGGCGGGCGGCGGGGGCTTGAGCGTCGGCAGGTGCCCGAGGGCTTCGGGCTCCTGGGTGCGCGGCGTGGCCCCCGGGCCTCTCCGGGGCCCTGGCGGCTCTGCGGAGCGCCCCTGCGTGTCTTAGGGCACCGGGCTCAGTGGCCCTGTGCCCCTCAGGGAACCGTGTGCGGCCCCCGCCGGCCGCCCGAACGTCAGCGCCCCTGTAATCGAGGGTCTAGCGGCTTCCTCGTGACACCCCTGCCCCTGGTCACACCCCTGCCCCGGGCTACGGCCTCCGTCTCTTGGTTTCCGTGCCGCCTCTGTATTGACACACCGACATTGCTTTGTATTTCCAGCACAGCTTCTTTCCTGAACTTGGGACTCCTGTGTCTCCACGTGGAAGTCTAATAGGCATCACTGCCACCCCACATATATTCGAGACCAAGTTCATGACCCTTCCCCTAGACCTGCCCCTCTGCCAGCCCGCCAGCCCATCTCTGTTAGGGTAACTGCACCCCAGCCGTAGAGTCATCCCTGATCCCCTCCCTCCCCCACACCCCCCGTGCCCAACGTCAGCGGACGGCTAGGTCAGAACATATCCGGAATTCTGCCCCCTCGCCTCCCTCAGGTTTCCTCTCCTCCTGGCTGATTCCCCGTATTAATTTCTTAGAGTTGCTGTAACAAAGTGCCACAAAATGAGGGGCTTAAAACAACAGATTTCTCCTCTCACAGGTCTGGAGGTGGGAAGTCTGAAATCAAGGTGCTGGCAGAGCTGGTTCCTTCTGGAGACTCGGAGGGAGAAATCATCTGTCGCTTTTTTCCTAACTTCTGGTGCCGCTGTCAGTCCTCGGCATTCCTTGGCTTGCAGCTTCATCTCTGCAATCTCTGCTTCCAGTGTCACAGGGCCTTCTGCTCTGTGTGTCTGTCTCTGTGTCTCTTCATTTCTTATGAGGACACACTGGTCGTATAGACTAAGGTCCAATCTATTCCAGTATGACCTCACCTTAATTTACATCTACAAAGGTCCTGTTTCTAAATAAAGTTACATTCACAGATATCAGGGGTTAGGATGTGGACATATGTTTTTGGGGGACACAGATTAGCTCACAACATTGCGTTATGGCCAGTTCTTGACAGGCAGCCGGCTGCAGTCAGATGGTGTCATGCCTTTGCTCCAGACCTTTCAAGTTATAAGTTCACAGTCCACAGACTTTGCAGTAACCCTCCAGGCCCTGGTACCTGGTAGGGCTCCCTGCTTCCACCCTCCTTCCTGCCCACTCACCAACCCCTTGGCCGCTCTACGCACTGGCATGCCCGGATGTGCTCCCTCTGCAGGTTATTGTCAGTATCTGTGCTGGTGGTGAGGTTTGTCTAGTATTTAGATCCCTGGCACCTGACGAGCTGCTCCTTACATGAATGAGCGAGCTCCCTCAGGGAACTATTGGTTTGCTAGGGAGGGCTACCAGTGACCCGCAGCCAGGCCGGCAGGAAATGCTGTGATGAGGGGCACAGGGCCGGTGGGCAGCCAGTGAGGTGGCACTGGGCACTCTGTGGCAAGGACGCAGTCCCTGAATGGACTTACGAGTGTCCTCACACACTATCCCCCCTCTGCCTTTCCCCTTTTCCTGTATTCTTTTCCTAGGTGGATTTCCCTTTATGTCTTTTCTGTTGGGTACTGGCAGCTGGGCTTTTGGGCATGTGGCAATTCTAGGTCTTTCATTGGAGTAGAGGTGGAGGGCCTGGGGGGCAAGGGATGGTGGGCTGGGCTGAGCATTTGGAGGTCCCAGCGGGAGATGAGAGGTGCTGGCCATTATGTAAGGCAGCAAATACAAGATTCCTGTGGAACAGGGCTCGGCAAGCTATGACCTGTAGGCTGGCCTGCTGTCCGCTTTTGTAACAAAGTTTTATTGGACACAGGCCTGCCCATCCATTCAGTGGTGTCCGTGGCAGCTTTTGCACTTTGATGGCAGAGTTGGGTGGTTGCAGCTGGATCGTGTGGTCCATGAAAGCTAAACTGTTCACTCTCTGACCCCTGCAGGGAGGATGACCCTTGGTCATGTTGCCAAAGGGTCTGTCCCTCTTTCCCTAAAGCCCCACAGGTAAGACAAGGCCATATAGAGTAAAACCACACACCTCCGCCCTCTCCCAGGTGCCCTGCTTACATCAAGAAGGTCTGTTTGTGGTGGGAAGAGGAGCTGCATGACTGGGGTGGTACAGTGCCCTCCCAGCATGTGGAGCTGTCCTGGGACCAGGGGAGAGGGGATGAGGGACCCTGTGCTCTCACATAATCTGGGACATGTTTGGTCCACTTGAGGGGAGTGGATGGTGGTGCTCCAGTCACGTAAAACCATGTAGGCATGTGTCTGTCCAGGAGAACAGCTTAGTTTAATACGATTTTGGAAATAATGCAGTATTAAGAAGGATAACAATAAAGGGTTTTAGTTTTATTTTTAGAGGAAAAAGTCCACCCTGTTGAGGTAGATTTTCTATTTTCAGGAGGCTGAACTGTAAATACTATTAACATGTAACTAAATGTTTAATTTGAAATCCTTAAACAGCAAGTTCATTAACGGAGGTCAATTTTTTTTTTTCAACGAAAAAACAAGCAGTAAATGCTTTCATTCTTATCCTGTGTTTTTTGATTATCTTTTTTAGACCTGAACAAATTCTGTCTCATAGTGAAGTGGCTTTGAACCCTTAGGAGACAAGGAGCAGGCTGATCTGTGCTCGGCTCAATGTCTGGCACATAGTGGGTGTTTGCTCAGCTCACCTGTCTCCACCTGGATGGGGAATGGGTGGGAGGCTTATGCCTCTAAAAACTGTGCCACTTCCCAAGATTCCTAGATTCCTGTACTGAGGCTATTTCTTTTAGAAGTCTGCTATTTGGTGGAAGCAATTTTGGCCATATTATAAGGTAGTGGGTTTTTTTTCCTTTTAAGTTGGGACTTTTCAGTGGTAAGGGGGGTTTCTGCCAATTACTTTGGAATCTAGATTACTTATAAATTTCAGGAGGGCCACATTTATTTATTTTTGGTTTTATTGCTTCTTGTTTGAAATGAAGATTGGCCAGGTATATTTAGAAGTTTTTATTTTCGTTATTTGCACACTAATAGCTGGTGCCCTTTTGCAAAGTCACAGGGCCCTTGTTGACCTTAAAGAGCCCAGACACCTTTAAGGGAATGGAGCTTGTGTTGTCTTACAGGCCTAGGTGAGATTAAGCACCTGTCTTCTAGGCTGACGGCCACCCCAGGGGCCAGGGGGACCTGGAGGCACGTGGCACCAGATTCTGGTTAGCTTCCTTTGTGCTGTGCCCTTGAGGACCTTGTTTGTTTCTGTCTTGGTCATAATGTTGCCCTTCAGCATGCTTTGGAGTTTCCAGCACTAAAACAAGCCCTAGAACTTATTAACATCTCTGTGATGCCAGCTTCAGGTGACTTCTCTCCGTCTGTCCCAGCTCTGTAACCTCATATGCACTAGAGGGTCAAGCACCTGGCTGTTGACACAGACCTTCTTTCTCTTGGCAAATGTCTAACCGCTCAGAACCTGCCACTGCCACTTCGTGAAGTCTCAGAAGCCAGCTTCGTTTGGCTAGTGGAGAAGCAGCATATCACGCTCTTCCTTTTCCTTTTAGGACTCCATCCCTGTGTCCACCTCCCTCCTTGGAGACACTTCTGACACGACTTCCACTGGCCTTGCCCAGCGCTTAGGTATGTACCCGTGGCTGCTGTAAGAGCAGCCAGCTGGGGACCTCACTGCTTAATGGAACTGTGAGGCCAGTCACGTTAGAAGGAAAGAATCCGTATATTGAAAGATCAACTCATCATTGCAGGGTGACCATAGATCTTTGTGTGTTGGGTCTTCCTTAAGGAGGGCACATCCATACGCATGTGGTACTGCCGCTGTCTCAGGGCCAGCGTGCTCCCAAGGGACTCTTGTGTCTGCCTTGGCCGCTCTCCAGGCCAGGGAGTGAAAGGTGGCTTAGCCTCCTCTTGGAAGCACACCGCTTGCTCAAGGAGAGTGAGAGCGATGGCCTCAGTGCCCAGTGGACCGGGGCTCCTGGTAGTCTCCTGGCCTCCGGGGGTACCAGCGCTGTGCCTGGGTACCCTGACAGTGGGGCGCCTCTGTCTTCTCCCCACGGTTCCCCAGTGTGCTTGGGCAGTTCAGTGCGGAGCCAGTAATGGAGCCCCTGGGTCCTGTGCTGGGGACCGCCTATGAGTGAGGCCCAGCCCCTGATTTTGAGGAGCTTATATTTCGGTTGTGTTGACCATTCTACCAGCCTGACCCTTGATAAGTGGGAGTTTTTATGTCAGTTCACTGTGGGGTACACCTGTGTAAACCGCAAAGCCACACAGTGGAGGGGGGGGTGTGGACAGGTCATTCTAGATGCCACACTCCATTCTATGCATGAATAGAGACCACAAAGGCAGTCACTGTTCTTTTTCTTTTGTCTGAAGTTAGAGCAACCTAACAAGTTATTCTAGTAACTGGTATTAGGATGTAACTTTAAATTTACAGAAAAATTGCAAAAAAGATACAAAGAATTCCTGCTTAGCCTTCCCCCAGATTCCCAGTATGTTTACATTGTTATTTTTTTCTGACCCACATGAAAGTAAGTTGAAGAGAGGATGCCCCTGTTGTCCATACTTCACTGTGAATTGGCCAGTGTGTAAGGGGTAATACACCTACAGCAAACAGATGGTGGTGTGCCGTGCCTGGTCAGGTAAAGGTGTGGGAGTGTGGATATTCTAGAGCCCGAAAACTGGGTGGGTAGCCACAGCGTGGGATAACAAAGTGGAGTAGAGAGGGGTGGTGGGAACTTGTCCGAATAAATTATTTATGTTAGTAAAGTAAGATGGGCTCAAGGGTATCCCTGAGATGGAGGCCTAGTAGCATTTTATATATGCAAAAATCGTTTTTTTTTTTGTGTGTGTGTGTGTTTTAAGTTCTGTGCAAATTTTTTTAAATTAATGTTTTTCTTCCTTGTTTATGTCAATTTATAATAATATTCATAAGTTAGAACATAATCAAAAAACTAAGTCCTCATCAATTGTTAAAGTCAGACATAATGAAGGGTCCCATCCTGCCTGTATCCGTAAAAGCCAGCAGCCTCAGCCTAGCCCAGCGACAGGCATGCGGAAGCAGCTTGGAAGTCTGGCGTGATGTGCCTGCCCACAGCACCAAAGGGGCTGGTGATGCCCAGTGCTGAGGTCACGAAGGGGCTGTCCAGTGCAGCCATGTGTTACGCCAGTTGTCTTGAGCTTAGGCCCGGACCCTGCAGTTGGAAATGTGTTAACTGTTGTCCTTGTCTAGAGGGTGATGAGGTGACAGAGGTGTTCTGAAACAGTGTCTTCTATGGAAGACGAACGGAAGTAGCAAAGGAGATGACCTAGTGGTCTGAGTGACCCTAGCATCATCAGAGAGCTTTGGTGGGGGTGGGGACCCCCTTACTCTGTGTGGCTCTGGAGGGCAGAACTGGGTCTGCTGGGGGATGATACAGACATAGTTTTGCTCCTTGTAAGACCCTGTCTTAGCAAGTAGAATGATTGGAATCAAAGTGGCCCCCTTGGGGATCGGGAATTGCCTGCCCCTGAGCGAGGGTAGGCTGAGCAGGCTGTGACTCGGCAGGCCCCAGTGTCACCACCTCTCAGCCGTCACCTTTCTGCCTTTGATGTTGGGGCTAGCGTCCCGTCGGACGTCGTGGGGCCTCTGGAGAGCAGGCGCTTGCACCTGCCCTGTGTGTGTGGTGGGGCCACGGGAGCGGCCTGGCCCTGGGTGGCCAGTGTTTAACTGTTTGAGGCTCACTGCCAGACTCTCCTTCAGGATATTGTCTTTCAGGTTCTGGGCATGTGCTTGAATTTTTAGTTGGGACAGTGTAACTCAACTACTATTGGTTCTGTAGAAAGGGGCTAAAACCTACATTCAACACTGAATTGAAAGTTACACATTTTGTAACTGTATTTGTGTGTATCTATATGTAAGTGCCCAGAAAGGTAGAAATGTAGGATCATCTTTGGGAGAGGAGTGGAATTGGTAGAGAGGGTGGTTAATATTTCAAATAACATTATCTGTATTTTTAAAAAGTAAAAAACCAAACCAACTCTACAGCAGTGGTTCCCAGACGCCCCTGTTCCATTCCCTCAATGGCTTGTGAACAGAGATTGCTGCCCCCACCCAGGCTTTCTGATTCAGTTGGTCTAGGTGGGGCCTGAGAATCTGCATCTCTGACAAGTTCCCAGGTGCTGCTGCTGATGTGGGGATTGCACTTGAAGAACCACTGTTTATAGAGTAGCAGAGGCCATGTGACCTCACAGTCTGCACTGGCAGCAGCTGCCATTGAAGAGTCATAGAACTGAGCACCTCTGCCCTCCCTAAAACCCCATCCTCTTTTTCCAAGCATTTCTCAGCTCAGGTGTGGGGCTCGTGGAACCTCCAGCTATTTCAATCATGGCTGTGTCAATGTCTTTTCTCTTTTTAGCCAGGAAGACCAACAAACAGGTGTTTGTCAGCTATAACCTTCAAAACACAGACAGTAACTTCGCATTGCTTGTAGAAAACAGGATCAAGGAAGAAATGGAGGCTTTTCCGGAAAAGTTCTAGCCGAGTGGCAGAAGTGAGGATTTGTAACTTATGTACAATATATGTTTAAATAAATGGATTGAATTTTACTGTTTGTCATGAGACTAATGGGTTTCCATTTTATTTAGGGTTAATCTTACCTCCCCAGAATGTGGGCAGAAAGGCTGTAATTGATCAGCCTTGAGGACAGAGTAAAGCAAAATGGACAGTAATGTTTCCTCATGTGATTGCTCAGAAAAAGAGAAAAGGACTTAAAATGGGGTTTTGTTGGATCGAAGGGGGCTAATCTGATAATCCAAGAAAGAGTTGGGTTATTCGTGACCCTGTTAGGAGACCCCAGTTAGAGTGAAGGTGTTGAATCTTTGTAAAACAGGCGCAGGTTGACTCTTCTTCCTCTGCCCTGGCCCTTCCCACTGGGGGTCTCTGGGGCCCCAGGCCCTGTGCTCCACTGCTCACTCCCATGGTGGGGTCTCCAACTTCTCTGGGCCCTTTTCTCACCTATAAAGTGGGAGTAATCTCAACCTTGCTGGGTCATTGTTAGGATTAAATATGCAGAAATGCTTTACAAACTGTGCCATGGCAATTAAGATGCTAATTAGGGCCTTACTTCATTTTCATGGACCCAGATGTTTCAGATCTTCCTTGCTTCCTACTATTGTCTTCTTTCCTTCTCTTTTCTCCCAAGTCCATGTACCTGTTTTGGTCACTTCTAGTCCTTAGCCTTTTACTGCCTGCCTCTTGGAGTGGAGTCCAGTGCTGTTAGCACACATTGTCCTTCACACTCTTTGCAAAGCCAGTGCTCCCTGGGTCAGTGGCTTCACATTCAGAGGGCTGAGGGAGCTGTCACAGATTGCTGGAGCCTGGCTTTTCCCCAGAGACTCAGATGGCCAGGGACTCAGGCTTTGGCGGCTTGAAAAGCTCCCCGGGTGCTTTGCAGCACAGGCAAGGTTGAGGACCACTGGCAAAGAACTCTAGAATCTCCTGGGTCTGTCAGGAGCCTTTTTGTCACTAGAGGCAGATAGTTTAGGGCCCTGGAACACGTTTCATTCAGTGGCAATAGTCTCACGTTGAGCCAGTGGTAGGCAACCAGGGGTGCGGCACTTTGGCCAGGACAGAAGCACTTTGGGGGAGTATGTGTGGGGGGCTAGTTGCTGCCCTCCTTTGTGGATTTCATGTGCTAACCTTCAAGGCCTTGGCCAGCATACAGCAGGCATCTCTCTAGGAAGAGTACATAACACAAAATCAGGGCTATGGAGAGAAGAGTTTGATATAAATACTTTATTAAAGAAATAATCTTGTTAAAAAATACTACATTAGAGAAGAGGGTTTGGGGTTATCAGCCTTTCCTCACAGAATCACAGTGTAAAGTAGTCATTTCTCGACCTCTCTAAGAACCTTCCGGCCACTGGTTAGCAGGACATCAATACACAAGAGAAAAGAACTCTTTAAATTTACTGGTGGCCGCCCATTTTTCAGGTAGTCTTGATAATAGCCCTGAATAAACAGTTGGTTCAATCGATCTCTGGGTCTGCCTGCCTTCAGGACTAGGACTTTGTGGGCAGAGTGGGAGGGCACCCACTGTCTGCTCGGGTGGGAGTGAAGACTCAGTTACAGGGGTGCTGAAGTAGGGACAGTGAGGTCTGCATGAGCAAGCAGGGTGTTTATTACCTGCAGTCAGCGACACCCCTTCATTGCATACCACCAGGTGAGGGGGAAGACATTCCAGAGGACATTTGTTAATGGGGCAACATTTTTATTTCTTTACATTTACATACAAATTTTCCCCGAAGGTACAACAGATGTGACATCATGCAGACATTTAGCTTGGAACGAATAGTTTGGAACTCAATTTGGGCTTGTGCTGAGTGAGCACCTCCAGAGTAATCCCGGTCAGCAGGTACAGTAACACGGTTCTTACAGAAACCTCAGAGTTGGGGTTGCAGAAAGGACCGAGTGAGGGAAGTACTCCCCACTAGACATGACACACTGTACTGCTTTCCCAAAGCACACAATACATTAAAGTGAGGTGTCTTTTAAGAGACAGGGTTGAAGTGTGGGCCTTTTCCAGCATGCGTGTGCCCTGTGCCACCTCGGGGCTGGGTGGTGCGCTTGTCACATGATTCACATAATGGCACTTCAGTCATTTCTTGTTTGGCTCTAGGAGGTGGTAATGTTTGAGTGCAGTACCTCCTTTACAAGGTTTATTTTTGCTTGCTTTCAGTCTTGTGGCCAAACCAACTTACCAGGCCCTTTCCTGTAGTTGCAAGTGACTATATTCTTAAAAAATAATATTTAAGACTTTCCTATCTGTCTTGGGTGCTAATATTTAGGGTTTTTGATGGGAGTTATTACTGACTTCTGGAAAAGAACAAAATGAGGTGTCCAGCCCTGTCTCAGGCGTTCACATTTGTGCATAACTTACTGAGAGGGGGTCACAGCCTCCTGGTAGTCAGGATCGCAGGCCACAGGCGTGGTGGTGAGAGTAGTTGGAGGGCATGCCTTGGGTTGTTTCCCAGGCAGCAGGAGGGCTCGGGGGTGGAGGGCAGACTTGAAGTGGCAGGTGCCTGAGAAGTGTTTCCCTACTAACCACACAGGAAGCAGGAATGAGGAGTCCAAGCACAACCAGTGGGTGCCAGGGAGCGGGTGGCCGCCCCCCCCACAGAGCCGGTCAGGTGGGCCCTGCTGCCTTGCTCACTTGATATGAGATCTCTTGGTGCTCGGCCCACAGGGAAGTCTTTCTGCTTTGGCTGCATTCATAAAGGTGTTCCTCAGGAGCTTCAGACATCCCTAAGCTGGGCCCGCGGCCACAGGGGAGCAGAGCTGTCGGGCCTCTGCCCAGGGACATCACCTGCGATTGTTAGCAAGTCAGCCTCCTTCACACCTGCTACACGTTGGTCCTAGGAGCCCAGTCCGCACAGCCAGCTTCTAGTCATCGAGTTGGTCCTGATTGCTGAAGTGACAGTGCTGACCGCCGTCCGTCTCCCCTGGACCAGTGTTTTTTGTTGTCACTAAGATGGAGATAGAGACCCCGGAGCAGGAGTCCGTGTCTGTGTCGTGTCTTGCTTCTGCCCCCCTAGAGACCCCTGGCAGCACTCCACAGCTTCAACTTGTTCCTTAAGGAAGGCCTGTGCAGCCAGGACACCTACAGGTCCTTCCTAGCACAGTAAGTGGACAGCAGGTGTCCCAGTGCTGGGGGATGGATGTAGACACAATGGCCAGGGGTCTAGCCAGATCCTTCCTACCTTCCCCTCTGCCCAGAGGCCTGGCTGCTGCATAAGTTGAGTCTTGGACTTAATGATCTTGTTACCAGGTGGCTTTGTAGCAAGTATGCTAAAAAGGCAAAAGGTATCTCATAAGTTTGGCACATGAAGGCTGCACAGATGTAAAGAAAGGCCTTTTTAAAATTAAGGTGAATGCAGACTAACATTGAAATACGAAACAAAAGTGACTGCAAAGAGACACAGGAAGGTGAGCATAAGCTGGGCCGGGAGCAGGGCTGGGGAGAGCCGGGCCAGAGAGCCTACCTGCCTGGGCAGCTGGTCCCTGAAGAAGGCCGGAGAGCCCAGGCCTGGGAGTTTGCTCACTTCCTGCAATGTTTTATCAAGTCAGTGGACTCCTATGTCTACCAGTTTTGGAGGAGAGTGGTGTGCAGAGACAGAAACAGCCCAGGTGGAGAGCTGGAGCGGGTGAAAGACCCCGTCAACCTCCCTTCTGACCCTTTGAGTTCGAGCAGTCGTCAGCTGAAAGTCATCCAACTGCTTAACCAGACCCGAAACGACAGACAGTTTTCCAGGAAGAACTCAGCCTGCTGCAAGGACACACGTCAGGAAGTGGAGAGGTGGGCAATTCCAGAAAGAAGCCAGGCTGCCGCGACACTCAGGTGCTTGTGTTGCCAGAAGGCAGTGGCTACCCGCACCAGTGAAGCATGTTTCTCAGGGGCCCCTGATTTCCCGTGAAACACCCCTCACACAGGTAGGGAAAGCCCGACATGAAAAGGCAGGAGGACACCGTCACTGGGAGGAGACGAAGTGGCCGTGTTTTCAAGAGTGCTGGCAAAAAAGCTGACCAAAAGAGGGAGCATTTCTGCTGGAGCTGAACTGGGAAGGACATACCTGCACACATCTCCCACCTCAACACGTTTGCTCGCCGTTGGGCACAGGGCAGGGCGGGGACTGCGCTCTGGTGAGTTATTGCTTGTTTGCAGTTGGTTGTGATGCTTTAGGAGGCTGAGGTCAGCTGCACTCGCCCAGGAGAGTCCCGCTGCTGGCCCTAAGCCCTACTGTGTGCTGACGAAGGGGCAGGAAGCAGGAAGCAGGCCACGGTGGGGGGAGGCACCCACGGGCTGTCACCTTGGCAGGAAGTCGTGAAGGCGCACAGTCCTTGGAGCTGGTGGTGTCCAGGCAGGGCCTGGAGGTTGGCCGGCACCTGAGTGTCCTCCCTCCATGGGCTGGCTGCCTTATCATCCATCTCAGCTCTGTCCCTACTGGTGTTAATTCAGAACGTGGCCATGTTTTCAATAGTGCTGGCAGAAAAGCTGACCAAAAGAGGGAGCATTGCTGCTGGAGCTGAACTGGGAAGGACATACCCGCACACATCTCCCACCTCAACACGTTTGCCCGCCGTGAACTTCATGGGACAGGCCTGTGTCAGAACACGGGGCACTGTTACCACTGATTATTTAAATTACTCGTGAAATGTTTCAGTTTTCCCTCCAAAGAGCTTACAACAGCAAGTCCAAAAGGATGATCTCCAGGGGAAGACTCAGCTGGTTTTAATGATACTTGTGAGCTGCTTTCTCCCAACTCATGGCACAAAAGTCCTTACCTTACAAACAGAAGACCTTTAAAAAGCACACACAGACTAGCAGAAACCTAATCATTTACATTTCAGTCCTGGTGATGCCCCATGGCAGCTGGCAGGCCATTCCTGGGTGCTGGGGTGCAGGCGAGTGACCCCCGGCTGGGCTGGGCTACAGGAGGGGAGGAGATGTGCCGTGGGGCTCCCTGCGGTGCCTTCTCCCCACCGGGACCTCCTCCGAAGCCGGTGGTTCCATTTGGAGATCAGTGAGGGAAAAGGGAATAAAGTGCTTCTCATAAAAATGACCAAAATAAATACAAACATTTAATGGCAGAAAACAACGTCTACAGGGTTATTTCCAAAGTTTGCTTCCTCAAACACATGATCCTTAGGGTCTTGGAAAGACAGGATTTCACCGCACCAGTTGAGTCTCCTGGTCGGTGGCGGCTGTAGCAGAGGGTGATGCTCCTGCACCAGCCATGTGTTCGGTCCCTGGTCTGTAAACCTGTGCCCGAACAGACCCCAAAACTTGCAGCCCACAGTGCCCCCTGTAGGGAGCCGCACCCGGGGCTACATGGACTTCATACCGTTGGCAGTGGCCGTCTCGGGCAGCCCCTCTCCCGCTGCAGCCACGTCGTGCAGGCCCGAGTAGTCCTTGAGCTCCGCGTTGGTGAGCAGGAGGGGCTGCTCCCCCTTCCTGTGGGGCAGGAGCGGCTGCCGCGTGTAGTGCTCCCCATTGGAGATGTTCTCCGGCAGGTTCTGGTTCCTGCTCTCGGGCAGCAGGAGGATGCAGATGATGCAGATGAGCGTGCAGCAGGCAAAGATGATGTGATGCAAGAAGTAGCCTTTCTGGTTGTGCAGGTCAATGATGGGCGCCGTCAGCATGCCAAAGCCTGCGCTGGCCAGCGCCAGCCCCAGCCCGCCGCACCTGCCGGAGGGGCACGAGCACACAAAATGGGCGTGCACTGTCAGAGCCCAGTGCTGCCAGGGATCGCTGAGCAGGGTCACAGCAGACTCAGCCTGGTGTCAGCTGTCCTGGGCTCCACCCCAGTGCCCCCATGTGGGATATTCTAGACCACCCTCACCATGGCTGGGTCGTCTGTGGATCGCCTCTAGTTCAGTTAATATTTCTGCTCATCCACTCAAAACTTTTTACTTAATTTACTTTGAAAGGCAGCCTATACACTGAAAAACAAAGTTGTGCTATTTTTCCCAAGGCTTGATCTTCATTTAGAAAAGGGGGAGTGGTGAGAGGACGACCAGAATTCGAAGATACTTCAGAAGACAGAAATTTTCTTGCTGTGAGTTGATGCTATTTGTCGCATCCCATGTATTTCCTAACACTGCTATGCATACTCCCACCGGAAAGTATCCCATCTCTGGGAAGTGACTGCCAGCAGCCGGGTACTGATCAAGATAAATTCACGTCAGCACTGAGCTCAAAAAGTACTGAATACAGCATAGAGTGGGGGCCACTTATCTCCACTCCTCTGCCATATGAGGGAAACTACCAAACATTCCAAAGGGATTAGTAGATACACAACATTTAAAAAACACGTTAGAACTCTAGCATCTGTACTTGACATAAAAGCACATTACTGGGGGTGGGGTGCCAGGGGGCAGCTGAAAGCAGTGCAGTGCTGGCTACAGTGCAGAGGACTGTGGTGTCCCATTATGCCCTACGCTGCACAGGCCAGAGAGTGCCAGCTGGTGGTCTCATCTCTGGGGCCACAGGAGGGGGCCAGGCAGAGGCAGTCTCGTCTCAAGGAAGGGGTAGCAGAGTTGTTTCCAGACCTCAGAGAGCAGACCCAGACCAGTAGGTGGAGGGTACAGGCATGCGGGTTTAAGGAAGAACTTTCATGGAGCTGCTCAAGAATCATGCATCACCCTCTAGGGAAGCGACCTTGACTCTTGAATGTGCTGAGACAGAGGGGCTGAAGGAGAGGCCCCTGCAGCACTGGGGGGACACGTGAGCTCCCAGCTCTTGAGGAGCCTGTGATGCTCTTGTTGGAACTGTAGGTGGCGCTGACTCTCAAAAATACTGTCCCACAAGGGCACAAGGTGACTGTGTCTATACCCTAGCAACACACACACTGAAAATGAAAGTTTACTATAAAACTGTGCAATAACTCTGAAATAATAAAATACTAAGAAATACATAACAGAAGAAGTGTAAGACTTGTGTGCTGAAAATGAAAAAACACTGAGAGAAAATTAAAAAGAAAATAAATGGAGGTGTTCCATGTTCATGGATTGGGAGACCAATATTGTTAAGTTGGCAGTTCTTCCTGAATTGATCTATGGACTCAACACAACCCCTATCAGATTCACAGTGACTTCTTGTTTTTTTTGCAGAAAATGGTTAAGACGATCCCAAGATTTATATGGAAATGCAAAGGAGCCACAATAGTCAAAACAATTTTGAAAAATGACAAATTTGAGGACTTACCTTTCCAATCAAAACTTAATATATAAAACTACAGTAATGAAGGCAGTGTGGTATTTGTGTATCAGTAGATTGATGCAACAGAAATAAACCCTTACATTCATGGTTAACTGATTTTTGACAAAGGCAAATTCAATGGGGAAAGGGTAGTCATTTCAACAAGTGGTGCTAGCACAAATGGATGTCCACACTCGAAAGCATGAAGTGGGATGTTTACTTCACATCAAATACACAAATGAACTAAAAATGGATCATAGACCTAATGTAGGAGCTAAAACCATACATAAAGAAAATAAAGGAAAGAAATAGAAGAAAAATAAAGGAAAAATAAAGGAAAACCTTTGTGACCTCAGGTTAGGAAATGATTTCTTACATATGACATCAAAAGCAGGATTCACAAGAGAAAAAATGATCAACTGGACTTCCTCAAAATTAAAAACTTCTTTCCTCCAAAAGATGCTCTTAAGGAAATGAAAAGACAAGCCACAGACTGGGAGAAAATGTTCACAAAACATATCTGATAAAGGACTTTTATCTGGCGTATGTAAAGAACTCTAAATAAGATAACCCAGTTTTAAAAATGGGTAAAAGACTTCAGTAGACATTTCTCTAAGGAAATTATACAAACTATAAAACATCCAGTAAGCACACAAGAAGATGTATAACATCCTTAGTCATTAGAGAGACACATATCACAACCACAATCATACACCAGTTCACACCCACTATGATGACATAAGCAAAAGGACAGACATAAAAAGTGCTGGCAAAGATATGGAGAAAATGGACCCTTCAGACATTGCTGCCAGGGAAGAAAAATGGTGCAGCCATGTGGAAAAGGTCGGCAGTTTCTGAAAAAGTTAAATGTAAACCCCAGCGATTCCACTCTTATGAAACATGAAAACATGTGTCTGTATAAAAGCTTACAAATTGGTGTTCATTGCGGTATTATTCATAGTAGCTTCAAATTGGGAAGAATCCAAATGCCCATCAGCTGGTGAATGGGTAAACAAAACGTGGTCCACGGAATGTGATTCAGCAATAAGGAATGAAGTGCTGACACAGGCTACAATGTGGATGGAGCGCAAAGACATTATGCTAAAGTGATTATATGATTCCATGTATGTGAAATATAACAAAAAAATTAAAAAGGGCCAATCTAGAGGCAGAAAGCAGATCAGTGGTTGTGGGGCTGGGGTGGGTTGCAAAGAGCTGTGAGGGGCGTTTTTGGGATGATGGAGACTTTCTGTGACTGGGCTGCCTTTGGAGTCGTTGAGCTGTATGTACACTGACGATGGAATGAATTTTTTGGTATGTTAATTATACCTTAACAAAGCTGTTTAAAAAACCCAAACTGCTCCAGCTGTGGGGCTGGGGCCTCTTGCTGACACCTGTCCCCAAAGCTTCCAGCCTGGGCCTCCCCTCCAGCCTACTCGGCCTTCCCGAGAAGTCAGTGACTGTCCGGGGCTACTTCTACCGGTCAGCCCTGCTGGGCTAGGGGTTTCTGCTCTGCTTTCCCCACTGTTCTGCTGAATAGCTGGTACTTTTACTCTACATTCAAGCCTTCTCGGGCCCTTGGCTGCCAGCAGTGAGGGGAGACCCCCCCCTCTTCCCTACTGCTGTCCTGCCACGATGGGCTCTCTGGCTGGCCAGTCCTGGATCAATGGGGTGACAGGATGGAGGGGGAAGAGGGGCAGCCCCTTGTGGCTCCCCAGTTGAACAGCTGTGCTCATGGGCCCCCTTAAAGCAGACATGGGCCTCCTTAAAGCGGTTGCGTATGCATGGGTGGGACAGTGGGTGGTCTTCCCTCTGCATTTTTTTGTGTTTCATACAGAAAGGTAGATGGCACTTATCTCCCCCTTTTCTCTCCATAAATGAGGGACGGCTCTGTATCTTTGCAGATGGTAGCCCACTCATCCTGAGATGCCTGGGCACATGGGGAGGGGTTTCCTGGGTAAGGAGGTCGGGGAGAGGCCCACTAGGCTGGACCGATGCCTGCCTGCAGAAACTGTGAGACAATCAGCATGTGTTGTATTCAGCCACTTAAATTTTGGGGTAATCTGTTGCACAGCTACGGATAGCTGACACGGTGAGTGACGGAGTTCCCTAGCCTTAGCCATGGAATACAGCCAGCCGCCTCTGAACCAGGCTGGGATATGTCTTTGGTAATGTGCATTAGAAAACCTTTCACCAAGGGAGAGACTGAAAGGCTGTGGGAACAGTGACACTACTGTGCTACTGGGCCACCAAAGGGACACATTTTTAGGATACCAGATACCCATCCCTTCTAAGGCAGATGGCAAGTCTTGCCTCCTTGTGCTTTAGGAGCACAAAAATGTTAATATCCACTGGATATCTTTAATAGTAATAATATCTGAATTGATTTAAGGACATAAAGACTGACACACAGGCTGGCTTAAGTAAGAATTCCAGAATCCTCAAATCATTCTTTTAAACCTGTGAGTACCAGCATCCCGTATTTGAACACAGACACAGACCTCCCACTGTTCCCTTCCTCTTTTATGTTACTCAATTTGTCTTTACTCCATTTCTATGAAGTCAAGGATGAACAAGTATTTGTGCCAGTTTTTACAGAAATAAATATAACTGCCAAAACTATTCAGGTAGGAATGATTAATAATGTCAATTGTCATTCACTGAGTCTACTCCACCCCCCTCTGTTAGCATCTCTTCATAGGCCTGCTACCCTTATCAGCCTATGAGCCCTTCAGGGGCAAGGGCTGTTTTTGGACCATCAACTGGCACATATTTATGCTCAATAACTACTGGATGCTGTGGATTCCACTGGCTTCCTAGGTAGGAAGGCCAACTCATCCAAATGAATGGGACACGTTAAACATGGATGACCATTACAAAGAGCAGTGAGACTGAATCCACCTGTCAGAGGAATAATATGAACACCTAAAATAGCCACTTAGTCTTTTGGATAATTCTGACCACTTTGGAAACCACGGGATGTTGCCAGGGCTGTACTGGATGCCAGGGATCATGGGCGTGTTTCACTGGGGCCTTTGATACCAGCGGGACATCATTTTCTCTGAAACCTCCTGGATTTCCACCTGACCTTCTTGTCTTTATGAGTGAGTGACATTCACAAGCAGTGAGAGAGACTTATTTTGAGCTCAGTGCATGTAAAGTCCCCACCTGGGTTAATATATGGAATGTGGGGTACATGACCCACAAGGAAGGATGATTCACTGTGCTCAGCACTGGATGGGAGCCTCCCTTCGTAACACCAATGAACTACATCATAGTAACTTACTGTGTTAAAAAATCAGGTCTAATGAAATGAAATACATTTGATTTACAGTAGGATTAGGTGGCACACTTAAAAAGTACATGCATATGTATAAATATTATTCGTAAAATTAGAAACAATTTTGGCAGAATTTGGTATACTGTTTTTGGCTTTGCGTTTTCTTTTTGAAATGTCAGTGGAAAGAATGTAATCATCACATGCT